CGCTGAAGTATTGGGGCGCTGAGACGTCGGGGCGCTGAAGTATTGGGGCGCTGAGACGTCGGGGCGCTGAAGTATTGGGGCGCTGAGACGTCGGGACGCTGAAGTATTGGGGCGCTGAGACGTCGGGACGCTGAAGTATTGGGGCGCTGAGACGTGGGGACGCTGAAGTATTGGGGCGCTGAGACGTGGGGACGCTGAAGTATTAGGGCACTGAGACGTCGGGACGCTAAAGTATTAGGGCGCTGAGATGTTAGGGCGCTAAGATGTTTGGACTCTAAGACGTTAGGACGCTAGGACGTTAGGACCGCTGCAGTATAAGCCCCAGTCAGAGCCCTCTGACCAGTGTGCTGGGCAGCTGGCTGGCGGTCACTAGGCCCTGGAGAGATGGTAACAACTCCCTGTACCCCTAATTCCACTGGGGGGGTGCCAACGGAGAGGTGGGCTTGAGTCAAGAAGGGAGTGGATGCCCCTGGGAGGCTGCATGGGACCCCTACCCCTGAGGTGAGGGCTCCAAGGGGCTGCTTGGCTGCACTGCAGCAAGGGAGGGCGGGTGCGGCACTGGCTGGAAGCCGCCTCTGGCCCCTCGGAGGCCCCTTAGCAGCTCCTCCCCAGTGTGGGGAGGCCGCAAGCACTGCCTCTCTGGGCTGTGACCCTCACACCAGCCTGTGGCCACCAGGAGGGACACCTGAGCCGCCCTGCAGCCCTTGGGGACCCCAGGCCACCAACGTGGCCAGTCTGCAAGAGCCACAGTGAGCCCCATCCCTTGGCAGCCAGGATCTAGCACATTCTGTGGAAGCCCAGGTGCAGGGCAGGCTTCCCTGAGACACACTCCTGCAGGAGGAGCCAGTGAGAAACCCCGACTCTGTCCTCACGCCCGGGCAGCACCATTATACGACAGGGCAGGATGCGCCTGAGGAGTTGCTATGAGGGGCAGCGCCCAGAGGCGGGTGTGCGGCTCCAGACATGTCTGTATGTGGGCAACATGTGCGAAAAAGCGAGAACCACTTGACCTCACTACAGAGATGGCTTAAACAGGCGTACGCTGCCGCCGTCACATGCCTGCCCGTGTCCCTTGGAGCTGACGCTAGGGTGCAACATCTCCTCTGGCTCAAGAAGTGGACCAGACTCTACAGGAGGTGCACAAACATCGACGAGAGGCGGACCGGGGTGGACGGGAGGGGCAGAGGTCGACGAGAGGCAGACCGAGGTGGACAGGAGGGGCAGAGGTCGACGAGAGGCGGATTGAGGTGGACGGGAGGGGCGGAGGTCGACGAGAGGCAGACTGAGGTGGACGGGAGGGGCAGAGGTCGACGAGAGG